TTGTAACCGATAAAATATGGATACAAGTTACTCCTGGGAAGATTCCGATTAGACACAAGAGGAAAGCTTTTCACAGGAAGAACCATCAGCCATTGGAATAATCTGCCCAGGGAAGTGGTGGAGTCCCCAACATTGGACACTTTTAAGATTTGGCTGGACAGAGTGCTGGACCATCTTATTTAGACTGTGCGTTTCCCAAGAAAGCTTGGACCAGATGATCCTTGAGGTCTCTTCCAACCTGGTATTCCATGATTCCATGAACTTTATAATACACAGTAACAGCCAGTAACAAAACAGCAGTGAACCAGTCTTCATTTCCAGCTTCAGCAGGCTCAAGGAGTGGACACACTTTGGATGACACCAACATTCTTCTCTGAAAAGAACAAGAGTCTGAAGAGTACAGTATGAATTTGAAAGAGACTACATGCCTCTCCTGCTGTTCTCTACAATTACTGCTCGAGCAACAGTTAACTTTAATTTATTAGTTACTGGCAATCCTGAGGAAGAAGTCACTGTCTTTTTACCAGTGTAGACACTGCTCAGAGCCTGATCAGGTTGTCTCTCTAAACTGATCATATCCTCACCTCAGGCTCTGTCTATTCTCTGCCAACGATTCCCTCTCTACAGCTTGCATTTTTGAGGCATTGTGCCCAGAATTTAACATTGTGGGCACTCCTAACAGTTTGGAAGAACATAAACTGTCTGAGCCTGGATAATGAGAACGTTTTCTAGGAGATCACTGCCTGCATCAACTCTTAGTTAAGTCTGAGGGGGGTTTGTAATACAGTGTACAATGGTTCAGGCTTACAGTAAATCAATCAATCAATCAATCAATCAATCAATCAATCAAGCTTTCTCACTAGCTGCCTATCGAAACCAGTTTCCACACAACTCATCAGCACACTTCCAGCAGAAGCCGGTGTGAATGAGTAAATACAAACTGAGCAGAAATATTGTGAACGCACTATTTAGCAATCCTACAGTATTTATGGCAACTTTTTCAGTGTTTGGTAAACATTTATGCTTCAGAAACTGTGAAATAGAAAGGACCAAGGGTGGAAAACAGCTTAGAAGCTTTCAAGAAGAAACAAAGGCACAGTGGGTTTAGAACTTGAACATTTACTCTCAAGACCTCTGTCACAAAAAGTCCTTATGTGAAGATAACTGATAAAAAACCAAACACTTGCAGAAACACTAGACTTATTTCAATTACCAATGAAAAATACAACTCTTAAAGAATTAGAAGGGAAATTAGAAGATTATAATGGCTCTCATAACAGTTTCTGGGAAAGAAAAGACTGTTGAGAAAAGTGGAAAAAAAAGGCAAGTGGGTGTGTTCGCTGGTAGAAAGGTAACAAATTGGTGGAATGTAATTTGATATGGAAGAAAGTGAGTTGGAGCCACAAACCAACTTGGGAAACCAGATGGTTCTGAAGACACTGCAAGGACATTGCTCTTCAAAACATCCATTCACCTTAACTTCAGAGCTGAATCCCCTGTCTGCCTAGTATGGCTGTAAGCTTCTAATCAGTGATGTATACAGGCAATGGCCAAATATCGGTTACAAACATTACCTCATTTAAAATGAAAAAAAAAAAAAAAGGGAAGGGTAAAAACAAGCAATCAAGGCAATCTAACGAGAGAAACAGTAATTCCTAAAATAAATGTTTGAAATTATGAAAGGACTCTCAGTATTCCCAAAATTGACATACTTTGCTGAAGTTTCCTCCAGGGTTTCAGTACAGGTGAACCAGTGGAGATTGAGAGAAGTTTCAAAACCTAAGGGGATCCATAAAGTGGATGCAATTCATTCCTCCTTCACATTAGCAATTCTATATTTAAAGAGAAAATTCCTTTCTAGAATATACAAGGGAACTATAAGAGGACTTTACCATAGTGAAAATTAAATGAGGGAAAATCAACGAGTTACAGTCCTATTCTTCTGATGTAACTACTTAAGATACCTGATTTCATAAAGAATTCCATTCCAATGATCATATTGGAGAAACTTGAACATTTTTCTCCACGCTTCATCATCTTTCTAGCAAACTGATAGAGTGACTGACAAACAAGTGAATAACTCAACTTTTTTGTGACCCTCTGCAGTGAATACTGTGTATATTTGCAACAAGCTACCCCAAGCCTTACTGTTAAATTTACAGTAAGCAGAATCATAATATTTAAAATACTCAAGAAGAAAACAAAATCTTCATAAAGTAAGAAAGCCATAACTGATGTGTGTGCAGGTAGTTTGTTTGTTTAAGAGGAGGATTCCCCAGCCAACAGCACTTCCATCAGTCTCAGGGGGATTCCCTTTGAACTAATTAATGAAGAACTGGACCCTCACAAGGACAAACTGAAAACAATTGAATAAGCTAGAAATCCTTTCTGTTATATAACATGTCTGGCTGACTCCAAACCAAAACACAGGCTGAGACCCAAACTGGAGGAAAAGGCTAATAGAATATAGTTCCTCTTCTTTTCCCTTAGCATTTAACACCGAAGAACTCTGTGTCTAACCTCATTTTTTGTTTGCATAGGCAATTACATCACAGACCCAAACTGGAGGAAAAGGCTAATAGAATATTATGCACTGCTAATAGAATATTTGCCACTGCAAAATGGTAAACCATGGAAATAAAAACACACAGCTCAATTCAGAATGATGACATTTTAGAAGACTCACTACAACTGACAACCTCAGGATCCAGCAAGTTTTCAATACAAACTGTTTTTTCTGACTACAAAAACACTGTCAAAAAGAGGTGTTAAAAGTAATTAAATTGGTATAGGCGTTCTGAAATCCAAGGAGGTCTCAGATGATGACAGATCCCTCATTAGACCAGACTCACTGGCAACACACTGAGTACAGTAAAGTACCTGCAAGTGTTCCATGTTGGTGATATCATATGTGACTTTGCAGACTGGATAAATAGTTGTTCAGGCAGCAAATCCATCTTCACATATTTCTCAAAATAACTCTGACCAGAGCCTGGGAATTGCCAGCAAAGGCCTTAAAGCAGGCAACAGTATCCTTTCAGAACGTCTCTCTTGTTAAAGTAAAACTTTCGTACAAACGAATTAAGTTTTTCTGCAGATAAAACCTAAAAGATATGAACTAAGTACAAGCAATACAACTCTTGCCTATGTCGGTTTGTAGAACCCGAAATAGCAACATCTCAATGTGGTGTAAATAATTACAATTATCCCAACGATAATGTTAGCTGTTGTGTTTCTCTTGGCAGGAAAGAGACTGAGGATTGCAAACATACACAATCTACTGAAGTGATTTTTCATTTTAATGCAACAAGTGGATGACAGCAGCGACAGCAATTGCTGCTTGCTTTTAATTTGGTCAAGAAAGCTAAATGAACTAGGCCAAGACCCAGAAAAACACACCAGCATACACTGAACCAGTAGAGAACATCTAAAATCACCTCAAAGTTGAACAAAATGATCACCTTTTCAAACATCAGTCTAACTTGTAGATCTGTACACACCAGTTTCATACACCTCTGCCAAACCAGAGATGTCTTTATTTCCATAGCAGTATGTTTTCAAAACTTCAGCTCCTTTCCAGCAAGTTAACATGTGCAACAAAACTTAAAGCAAAACATGAAGTTTACATGCTTTGCCCTGTGCGCAATGCTTACTTCTACATATCAGGATTCATAGCTTTAAAAAACACAACACCAACACTGCTCCCCTTCTTTACACCATACTAAAACCAATGCATCCTGGCAGTAGGATCCAAGAGAGCTATCCAACTTGGACTTGTATTCGGCATTTCTCTCTCTCTCTTGTTTTGTTTTTGGGGGTTTTTTTGTTGTTGTTTGGTTTTTTTTTTTAAAGTTTCCATCCTACCGTCAACTCTAATCCTGACTAGTCAGGAAACACAGGCAGTTACACACCTGGAACTAGGAACAGTTCTCAAAATTATTACAAATCTAAAATGTAAGCTGCTCTGGAAAGCCTACGGTTAATGCAAAGTGTATTTTCTGGTTCTAATACAGTGACAAGTGAACATTTGTCCATAGCATAACACCGCCAGACTTCAGCACAATTCAATGTAAATTGCATTCTCTGTTCATGTAAGGCCAACATTCAGAAGAGAATGAAGTTTCACAGTTCCAGATAGGGCGATATTAATGAGGCAGGTGACAGTCACAAACACCAGCAGTAACAGGAAAAGTACTGACACTGGATTGAAATAAAAGAAAAGAGATAAAAGAAAGAGTAGGAAAGGCTTGTGTAATTTCTGTTAACTGTCTGTCTGGCTCTGCTTGATGTAAACATCACCTGAATTCTAGGGTCAAGATGCATCAGGATAAAACAGAAATTACATTTCACTTCAAAAAAAAAAAAAAAGCGCAAAGAGTCAGCAGCTATATGATAATTCCAAATAATTTTTAATTGGCAATGTTATCTATTTTCCTGTCTGCTATTAAAAATAAATTACTACCACAAGAAAGGAAATATAATGACTCTTTGAAGCAGACACACTGCAGTTTACTGACTTCTTTGTGACAGTCTGAAGGCCCTCTTGCTCTACTACTGCAAAAGAAAGTTTGCTAATTTACTAGAAAAAAAGAGACATGTAAAGAAACAGACAAGGAAAACAGTGCTCTATACAATGATGGCTTACATGCCTCCACATGAGTAGTTTTATAGCAATTACAAACACCTCTATGAAACCTTAATATATGTCAATCAAAGAAGGCGGGAATCTCTGCATAGTTATTCGAAGCCAAGTCTGCAGTTTGTTTATAGAAAACTGGTTTTGGATTTCCGAGCACAAGCCCACAAAAGCTACTCAGAAAAGCAGCATTGCAAGACTAGAGAGTGCATGCAGGTGAAATCTCACCCAAAATACAGCTTTGTCTTAAGATCCCCTGTAAATTTTCAGTTTAAATCTTTGGTCAAAAAGTATCCTGACAATGATCCTACATGCAATGTCTCTTTGCAGCTTTGACATTCCTCCTGCAGATCTTCTCACCCACCCACTGCCCTTGCCCCACAACTTCCACGAGTCCAAAGAGCACCCCAACGAAACCAGGTGACCTCACCTTTCATTTTGACAGTGGGAGAATTGGGTCCAGCCGATTGCTTCCTCCATCCTCTCCAGTTCTGGCAAAGGCTTTCTGCCTCAGAGATGAAGGAACAAAGAGAGTCTTCTTCAAAGCGATCAGAGTCTTCAAATGAAAACCTCTCCCCGTCCTCCCACTCTGCGAACATGAGTTCCATCACATCCGACAGGCAACGTGGGGAGAAAAGAAGACAGAAACAGCTCTGCTCACTTTTAACAGGTGGATGGACTTGAGGGCTCCTGCAAAACTTAAAATCTCAATTTTGATTCGATCCCCATACTACGGTACCAGAAAAAACAGAGCCAGCGCTATCTGAGATGGGAAAAGCAGGAAATCAACTAAGGGGAAGCACGTAAAAATCCCAGGGAAAAACAAAAAAGTTCTTTAAAAAGTTAAAAAAATGCTTATGTCCACAAAATGTACTTGAGGCGGCGCGGGGTTGGTCTATCAGAGCTGCCTCCAGGCGGGACAGGTGCCTGCCGGGCACACGGAGGGTCTGAAGGCTTCCGACGCCAGCGGCCACGGCGCTGGAGGACGAGGGAAAGGGCCGGTTTCCTCCTCCGGGGCTCCCGCTGGGGGAAAGCAGGTATCTGTGCGCAGGGCCAGGTCTCCCTGAGGTTGTGCTTTTCTCACTCCCGGTGCAGTAACCGGAGGGAGGGCGAGGGCGGGAAGGGGCAGCGGGGGGAAGACGGCGGACGGGACAACTTCCCTCCCGCTCGCGGAGGATGAAAAACGGCCCGTCCGGCCGGGGCGCCCGCGGCGGGGGCGGCGCGACCTCC